GGTCAAAAGAAAATAACTCAAAACACATTACGAGAGAGGTCTACTAGTCTAAATCCGCACCCGGTCAAAAATCCACTTTTCACATATCCCGGGCAATCTCGAGGCTGGCCATAATAATATCGACACCGTCCAATTAAATTCGTCTCGGAACTCCGAGAAATTCCACACCAAAGTTTAGGCTTTAAATAACAGTCAAATTCGATCGAGTGCGATTCTAGCGAAATCTCTAATTTAAAAATAATAACCGAGAGTGATGAGTTCCCAGGCGAGATTTTACTATAAGCATACTGACGAATTACACGTTTTATAAATCCCAAAAATGGGTCGAAAATCGGAATGTCACACGAGGGTTGCTAAGGCCTCGGTGATGGTTGGCAAGGGTTGCCGGTAGGGCCTGCACGCCCTTTTAAGTGAAGGTGTGCCCTCACTTGTGGCAGGCAACCCCCGCTGGACCTTTCAGGAAGATGAACAGTGAGAAAAAGAAAAAGAAAAGAAAAAATTATAAAGTTTCTTAAAACAACATCATTTTGAGTTTAAACCATCCACGTTAGCCTTTGGTCATGCCACGTAGAATAACCGACGCCAACTAAGCTGCCAAATCAATGATTTCCTACCTAAATTGATTGAATAGACTACACTGAAAAATTGTCAAAATGTTTGGAAATAAATTGGTAAAATTAAAAAATTTACCAATTAGCAGGATATCAACTTTGCATGGTAGAGTATTCCCATTTCTTACTGCATTACTCTACATTTATATACTAGTGACATTTTTATTTAGGAATAGCATATTCGCGCAAAAAAAAAAGATAGTCCAGGTTACGAATTTCATCCAAACTGGCACAACATACGACCCGACTAACGATTATTTGTGACGAATAAGATAATCTGTAAGCCCGATCCAAGTTTTTCACTAGACCCAAGAGTCCGAGACCGAGCCCGGTCTACAGTACATACCAGTTTCGGCCCCTTCCTCTCTCTCCCTCGTGTTGGCCGAAAATGGCATGAACATTTGCCACGTGAGGATTAATTGAACAAGGAAACGAACAACACCAAGAATGAAATTCAACCAAACAATCTCGGCCGGTGCCAAATAGAGAAACAAGAGGTTGGGCTGAAATGGGAAGAAAATGAAAAGGAAAGAGAATGGAAGAAAAGAGGAAAGAAATGCGAGGAAGATTTTCGGCCAAGTGATGAGGGATCAATCTCAGTTGAATTCACAGGCGTGATTCATGGCTGAAAGGTCGAAACAAAAAAAGAATGTTGTCTACAAAATTAAGGGGGTCTCAGCTGCAAGGGGACCGATCGAACAGATTCTCAGCATAGAGCATATTGGCATAGAGCTCATACTGAGCAGTCATTCTGAACCCCCACTTGTCTTTCAGCTGCCTACAGAGGTTGAGATCCATGTTCGAGACCAGCAATCCATCTCTGTGACCGGATAGTGCCGGCGTGCACGAAGCATCTGGAGCTGAAAAGTGGCTGGATCCACAGAAGTGCCCGAAATCCTTGAGCTCTGGCTTCTCGTCACCTGATGCGAACGGAAAGGGATATGATTCTATTTCTACCTGATTGATCGATCCAACAAAATGACTGTCGGCAATGGCAGCATTTCGGGCATATAAATTGAATTTACATGAATACATTTAACTGGGGCAATAATCTAGCGAGAAAGCACAGTGACCAAGATAAATTCATAGCACAAGTTCGATAAACCAAGCAGTTGTAGGAAGAACTGTAAAGTTTTGAATAAGCCCAACTCTGACAATTCGCAGTTCTCTAAATATCTCCTTGTCTTCCGTAAAGCAAAATGCCTGAAAGAAAATCAGAATAAGTTGATGAAAAAATTCATCAACTTATTCTAAAAAAAGAGAGTAAAAGATGCTGCCAAGAAATGTCGGAAGCAAGGTAATGGTTCAAAAATAAAAGTTAGCAACTAACAAATTGCGACTACCACACTTCCTAGCTTCCATGATTGTAAGTTTAATCAACTAGAATAATTTGCCTACCTCATACTTTGAACGTTCTCTATTCCGTTGGTTCACCAACTCCATAAAATTCTAACATGGTAAAAGACTATCTAAATCAGATTTTCTCGCACCTTCAATCTCATGGAAAAACTCAGAACCAAGTCACCATGCTAAAACAGATTTCCGCAATTAGGACTACATGTATAAATCCAGTAACATGATTTTATTTGATCCATACTCTTTTATCTATCACTGAAGTGAAAGACTGCTGAGTTATAAATAGAAACTCCCTATGCCTTCGCAAAGCGAACAAGGAGCACACATTGGAAGATCTTTTCTCAGGTTCCTCAGAGAACTGCCAAACATTTGTTGGCTCTCCCCCACCCCCCCAAACTTATGCTGTCATGCCCCGAACCCCAACAGGCTCGCGACACCCCTTCGACAGTCGTAATGAACGCGACGTCCCAGGACGTGTCGCCGACCCAAACGAAACACCCACCAATATACACAAGCGGAAGCGAAATAAACAACCCAGACAACTAACATGATGACAAAAGGATAGCACGAAACCATAATTGCATAACGTCATAAAGCAGTCATTATTACAAAACGATAACCCAGGCTACCAATTCCAAACCACAATTTTTAAAAGGGGGCGGTGGTTGATAAGCTTATCTCCTCTACAAAAAGGTACTCAAAAGACAGGATAATTTGATCTATCCTTCAATCCCTGTGGTACTCTGGCGGCATCTCCGAATCGATCACGGTCGCGGATCTGAAAATGGTTTGCATTACAGCAATGAGATTACATCTCAATAAGCAGACACCCTATACCCCACATAGGCCAATGCGTACCCAGACGAGTTCAGCATGCAATCAATCCAATCACATATATATATATATATATATATATATATATATATATATATATATAAAGCACAAATGGACTTACCTCGCCATCCCAATCACGTGCCAACACTGCGCGTTAGTCAAATCCTGATAATTGGATAATATCCTGAGAATACATCACAATCACTCGAACGTCATACATACGTACATTCACCCAATTCAATCAAACACATTACACATGCTCATTCATCCAACTTTCTCACGACCCGGGTCAATACCCCACAGGTCAGCCCTCCGATCAATCCGGGCTCGTCCCGCGTCAACACGCCTCAGGACCCACTATCTTTCCCCAGACCACCGTCAACACGTCTCAAGTCCGTTCTCACAGGCACACATGCCACACAATTCAATCGATTTCCAAAGACCGCCGTCAACACGTCCCAGGTCTAACTTTCCTTCCACGGACCACCGTCAACACGTCTCAAGTCCGTTAACTTTCATTCTACGGACCACCGTCAACACGTCTCAAGTCCGTTCTTACAAGTACACTTGCCACACAAATCAATTCACCATTCTCACACGTCATACTAACCAAATTCCAATCACGAGTTCAACAAACAAGCCCACCAATCCGATATTCAAGTCAGCCACATTTAAACGTCAATATCACTCACAATCGCCACGATACACAAGCCATCAAACCCATCTCAATCAGCCACTAATTATGCCACAATATCATCACAATTTAATCTACCAACGAACCACATTCAAATCTCAATTCTATCCCAAGCTTAGCCACTAAACCGGTACTAATCGACCCCTAAACAAGTCTAAAAATACCCAAAGTACTAGGTAGAGTTTAGAGAGTCACTTACCTAAGTTTGGCCCGGGAAAAATCCACACGTGCTCAAAATGGCTCGGGTGAACAGTGCTGGGATGGGCACGGGCGAGGGCGCAATGGGCGCGGAGCTCGGCCACGGCTCGGCACAAGGCCTGGCGACTCAGCGCGGCGCTCGGCCACAACGGGGCACACGACCCGGCGACTCAGCCACGGGCAAGGGCACGCTCGGCACAGCTGGGGCGACTTGGCACTGCCCGAGCACGGCTCGGGCTGCTCGGCCACGGCTCGGGCACGGCCCGAGCACGGCCTGGCTGGCGGCTGAGCCGGGCTGGCCTACGCTGGCCGGGACGCGAGCGGCGGCGGCAACGGGAGGACGGCGTGCAACGGCGAGCTGGTCTCGGCGGCTGGGCGAATGGCGACGCGACGGGGACGATGGGCGAGCAGGCGACGGCGACTGGCGGACGATGGAGGTCGGACGGCGAGCTGGGTTGGCGAGGGGTGGTCGGGCGGAGGCGACGACGCACGGCGGCGATGGGCTGCCGCACGCACGCGAAGGAGAGGGAGAAAGGCAGTCGGCCTAGGGGGCACGGTGACGGACGAACGGCACGGCGCGGCGGTCGAGCTGTCTGGCGACGGCGACGACGCGCGGCGGTGGGCGGCGTCGAGCGGGCAACCTCGCGGTGGGCGGTGACGGCGAGCTGGCCGAGCGAGCAGAAGGAGAAGAAGAACCAACGGCAGCAGCTGGACCATCTTAACACTATTATGGCAGGCTTTGAGATCCTACCGAGCACGACATTTCTCAGCTTGGGTCGCGCCAATATTGGTGGAAGATTTGCAGATGCTTTATTGAACGTTCGGTGGCTTCACTAGCAAGGGTGCCCTCCAGATTTTGAAGCAATCAGCATTCATTTGGGGAACCTAGTTATTCTTGATCTTTCATGGAGTAAGGTTACAGAATCCTGGGGAGGTTGGAAAGGAATTAAGGTGGGTTTATAGCTCATTTGTTTTTTTGTTTGTGTTGGCCCTTAAGTAAATTGAGAGTTCTATGCCATCTGAATATTTTGTGTTGTTTTGCAGATGGAGCGTTTGAAAGGCATGAATCTTACAGGTTGTGTGGACTTATTAGTTAGCCCCAGCTTCTCTTGTTACCCAAAATTGGAGATACTGATCATGGAGCGATGTTCTCGATTGGTTCATTTGGATCCTTCGATTAATGATATGAAGCTCTTGGTTTCCCTGAATTTGAGGTTTTGCTCCGAACTTAACATGTTGCCATTGGAAATGGATGGGATGAATGCTTTGAGAGATCTCCTGATTGATGGCACTTCCATTCGAGAACTTCCTGGTGCAGGAGTTTGGAGGGAGTCATTCCTAGTGACATTTCGAATGGAAGTGCCATCAATCAGGAGATCTCTCAAAGCATTCATCCCATCCATTTCCACTGGCAACATGTTAAGTTCGGAGCAAAACCTCAAATTCAGGGAAACCAAGAGCTTCATATCATTAATTGAAGGATCCAAATGAACCAATCGAGAACATCGCTCCATGATCAGTATTCCCAAATTTGGGTAACAAGAGAAGCTGGGGCTAACTAATAAGTTCACACAACCTGTAAGATTCATGACTTTCAAACGCTCCATCTGCAAAACAACACAAAATGTTCAGATGGCATAGAACTCTCAATTTACTTAAGGGCCAACACAAACACAAAAACAAATGAGCTATAAACCCACCTTAATTCCTTTCCAACCTCTCCAGGATTCTGTAACCTTACTCCACGAAAGATCAAGAATAACTAGGTTCCCCAAATGAATGCTGATTGCTTCAAAATCTGGAGGGCACCCTTGCCAGTGAAGCCACCGAACGTTCAATAAGGCATCTGCAAATCTTCCACCAATATTGGCGCGACCCAAGCTGAGAAATGTCGTGCTCGGTAGGATCTCAAAGCCTACCATAATAGTGTTAAGGTGGTCTGTTCCCTGCACGATGGACCACAAAAGTCAAGTAGAGCAGAAGGAGAAGAAGAACCAACGGCAGCAGCTGGACCAGACTCGCGGCGGCGAGTGACTAGCTTGCGGGCGACGATGGCGCATGGTGGCTGGACGGCAGCGACGGTGGCGAGCGGCGGGCTGGGCTGGTGGGCGGTGGCTGGCTAGCGAGCGGGGGTCGGGCGGAGGAAGAAGCAGGACCAGAGGTGTGGCGTCGGGAGGGAAAGGAAGGTGGAAAAGAAGAGAGGGAGAAAGAGAGAAGGAAGAAGAGAAAAGAAAGAAGAAAGAGGAGAGAGAGAGTCTGACAGAGGGGAGGGGGGGGGGTTGGGGGTAACGTGCGCGGGCAGAGGGGAACGGCGCGGCAGAAGGTAAGAGAGAGAGAGGGAGAGAGAAAGGGCCAAAAGTCAACGCAATGATTGCGATCCAACGGCCCACGTTCGAACTCGAAAACGATTTAACGGTCCACAAAAATCCCCAACGACACTAATTAAAATAAATCCAGAGAGAGGTCTATTAGTCCAAATTTGCATCCGGTCCAAAATTTCACTTTCTGACTAATATGGGCAATCTCGAGGCTGGCCACATTAATATCAACACCGTCCAATTAAATTCATCCCGGAACTCCGAGAAATTCGACACCAAAGTTCGGGATCTAAATAACGGCCAAATTCGATCGAGTGCGATTCTAGCGAAATCTACAAATTAAAAATAATAACCCGAGAATGATCAGTTCCGGGCGAGATTTTATTATAAGCGCACTGACGAAATACACGTTTTTATAAATTCCAAAAATGGGCCGAAATTCGGAATGTCACGTATGCACACAATCAGATTATCCATATGCTCCAAGCGGGATTGTGCTGAGAAGGCAAGTTCCATACCATCTAGAAAACTGCTTTACATAAGGAACCTATTTGATTTCTAGTGAGTCCTTATCAAACTCCCACCAAATGGTACTGGAGCACATGAAACAGTGCAGCCTAGTGTGACCAGGACTCTTCGGAGCGGCATCTAAATTGCCACGTCCAATAAGCAGCACAAAAACAGCAAACACAGGTTTACCTGTTTGTCATAATTACATTTAGATGAGAAAGCTTTTGCAGAGTCTGCGAGAGGAACAGCTTCAAGAGCCCTTCCACAATTCAGTCCTATAAGTAAACGACTGACTTCCTGAAATCAAAATCATAGTGGTTTAACAAGTAAGATGACAGGAAGAGGGAAGGCATTGATATACCTCCTGGCAATTTTGAAGTATAATTCAATTTCTCAGTGAAGAAAGAAGATATGTAAAAAGACGTCAAAGAGATGACATCCTCCTGTCGACAAAATTGGTCACGATTGTCACTGCTGTCCATTCCAACCTCCAAAAGAATGTCACTCAGAGCTTCCTCTTCATCATGTACAAGCATGCAGAGTCTAGTGAACAAAGTCTACAACACATTGGCAAGAAATACAATTACTCTTTCAATCTTTCATTTATAAAACCTTTCCGACAGAAGTCCAACTCCTATTTAACTTTAAAAGTAAATGGTACTTCTACATATGCAGACCGGTAATATGTAGGAGAGATCAAACATTCTTCCAGATTGACTAATGACACCAATATTCATCTAAGGTGGTTACAAAACACAGCAAAGCTGATCCAGCTCGTGCAATTTCCATAAATATAATTGGAAAAAGCGAGTAGAGAGATGACAAACTGAGCAGAAGAGAATTCTACTATCTGACCACATCTTTGTGTGTTTCTTTTCAACTAGTCAAACTCTTTCAACTTTTTACAATAATAATCCTTCTCCATGCAGCCTTTGCTTTCCTGATTAGCACCAATTCGAAATCTATAGATGGTAGCATCATCAAGCTTACAGACAAGTACCAGTGCCAGAATATCTTCCACGAAACGAACTTCGTCCATTTTCAAGAAATACAAATGGTTTGGTTGGAGGAATCATTTCGAACGTCACGACAAAGAAATTTCTGGTCATACGATAGAAATACAAAAATATGCTTTTACCTATTTGAAAGGGCAATGCTAGCCTGACGGCCACTGTCATTACTAGAATTGACGGTGGCCTCTCAACCACAGTTATCTCACACCAAGAGAAGGCAACAGGATGAGTAAGTTAAGGCCACCATTGACTAAATAAGGAAAAAAAAGAAGCTAAATAGAGAAAGCCCATTACTAAACAATAAAAGGAGGAAAGATACTGAATAGCGAAATATTTAATTTGTCTCTTTTCAAATAATTAATAAGTAAATCATCAAGCAATATACAGTTAGAAATTAAAGAAACAAGAAAAAATCATTTGGACTCAACTAAATCAAATAAGTACATTTTAAAAAATAATGAACTGATGTTAGGTAGTGTCGGTGCCAAGACCAACCTATCATCTATGGGTGTAACAAATTAACGATAAACAAGTAACTTAATCATAAATGGTAAAATCATCTAAAATAAATGAAAAAATTTATTTAAATAGGCGAAATTTAAAGAAAAATTTATACTATCTTCTGTTAAAAAAAAGAAGTATATCATGTAGTCAAACGTTGGAAATTCACATATTGTAAATATAAAGTATTCACATTTTATAAAGTTTTGCACTTATAACATGAATCGGAAATTTTTCGTATCCTATCATAACCACAATATTAAAAAATTCATTGTTGCACTTGGTTACAATAAAACTCTATCAAATGTTGTCACGAAATACTTGAAAATATTGAAATATCAATTACTGAAGTGTACAATTGGTCCATTTCTGAAATCATGAAGGGTACAATTGGTTCGTTTTTGAACTTTTATAAAATCTTACAGCATTATCTCTTTGATTTTTATTTAGCAGGAAATATTTGAAATTTTCAAAATATTCAATATCAAATGCTGAATTGTACAATTGATTCGTTTTCAGAATTCAGAGAAAAATTTTAAGAAATAAGTTTCTAAATAAATAGAAAAATTTATCCCAAACGGGTGTCTTATTTTTATTATTACTATTAGTAGTAATAACAATAGTAGTAGTACTAGTATTTCACATTTTCTTGACATTGTTTCTTAGTTTGCTTCTAGAATTAAAAGGCAATGTTGCAGGAACCGGACAAGCCTATCATAAGGTTCCAAGCAACACTTTTTGTAGTTAATAGCGGTCCGCTACTCATGTAGAAAGTGACAGACTGTTATGTGAGCATTTCCCTAAGACTTAATGGCTAGCAGAGATATGCCTTCCTTGTGGATGGGGAGGTGGGGAGGAAAGTAACTTGAAAACTCCGAATGATTCCCTACGAAAGGAACAAGTAGTATCAAATCCAAATCCTTGATTGTGCTTTTTTGTTCTTCAAGGCTCTTTACCTTTTCTTTATTCTTCTTTTTGCTTTGAGTTTCGTAAGGAACAAGTATTATCAAATCCAAATCTTAGTACTCATGTGCGTTTTCCTATTTATTGTATTGAGACTTCGATTCATGTTAGAAATTAGAAATTGTTGAATATTCTTTTCCTAATGTCATAATCATGATATCATCGGATTCTCTTCACAATTCTAAAATGGTCGTGTTATTGGTTTAAATATTGAATATCAATTTTTATAAGGTTCTACTTATTGACATATTAGACTTGGGCTAGCTCAGACCTTATATCTTATTAATGTTGACCACTAGATGAAAATAAATCTTGACTTTTCATGTATCACCTTCCAATTTTTTACAAAGTTATTGACAAAAAGCCCTCATAATCATCCCTTTAAGTGAAAAAAAGACCTTAGTTCACAAGGAAAAATAGAAGTTGATTAATTTTCTTGCCAGCCATAATTGGTAGATATTGAGTATGTCTTGATTTCTCAATGGGTTTGGGCCAACGATAGGGTTTGGGGGAAATATAAATATTGTTTTTCTCAAGTTATTAGGTTAAGAAGTTTAGACAGAAAGAGACTTAGGTTTTTGAGCTACCTTTTGTAATCCTTGAATTTCATAATGGATTTTGCTTCTCTTCTCTCCGTGGTTATTCCCGTAAGGATTTTCCACGTATATTTGTGTGGTCTTTATTCTTCTCAGTTTTAATTTCGTTATAGTTTCTGCATCAATTATAACAATATGATATCAGAGCTTTAGAGTTTTTCGATTTTCTAGTTATGGCTTCAAGTTCAACAACGAAATTTGATATTGAGAAGTTTGATGGGAGCGGTGTCAACCTATGGCAGGTTTGTATGTTGGCTATTCTTATGTAGTAGGGTTTGAAGAAAACTCTATTTGGGAAAAGGAAGAAACCGCAAAGCACGTCGGAAATTGGACAGTATTTTTTTTGACAAAATCCCTTACCAATCGATTGAGGCTCAAGCAATGACTCTTCACTCTTCGTATGGTTGAAGGTGCTTCTCTTAAGTCTCATATTATTGATTTCAATGCTATGTTTTCTGAATTAAGAAGTATTGATGTAAAGATTAAAGATGAGGATTAAGCTCTTTTATTACTAGTTTCACTACCGCTCTCTTATAAGAAATTTAGAGAGACCATGATTATTAGTAGAGAAACTCGACCTTGAAGATATCAAGACTAGTCTACTAAATAAGTAGAAATTAGATACATAATTGACTTTTGAAGGCAATACTGATCATGGGGCTAGTTTAGTTGCTAGAGGAAATTTGTTGAGAGAAGAAATGGTAACGGAAGCAAATTCAAAAATCGAAGTATAACGATCTAACTTACAACTATTGTGAGTCTAAAGGGACAAAACAAAATAAATTGTCTAAAACTGAAGGCAAAGCAACAAAGAGAAAACAATTTCAATCAGCAAAATCTAGGGAATGCAAAATCGGCAGAACAATCAGAACTACCGGAACATATAGAATTAGGGAAACGAAAATCCCACTCAAGCTGGTGTTGCTGGAGAAAAAAAACAAAAATTGGTTATTGGTTGCAAATGGTAAAGACAAATTCAGTGATAGTTGGATTTTTTATGCAGCAAGGTCTTTATCATCTTTCTATTTCGACGCCATGGTTTTAAGATGCACGGATATTTGAGCT